CATTAATTGATCATTAGGTGTAGGTTTCATCCCATCAAAACCATTTCTGCCCGATCAACAGGGACATATTGATTAACATCGAAGCTCATTTCGCTACATTTATTTTCTACGCCATTGTTTTGCATAAATAAGGCAATAATACAATTTTATTACCCAGCATGGTTTAAATAGATCAAAGTTTTCGAAAGTTATTAATCGTTGATTGTGTACTTAGGTTAATTGGACAGTTTAAATGTGTTAAAAGCAAACTTTTCAGGATAAGTTTATGGCCGTCTTCCATGGTAACGGGCCGTGTTAATTGGCCTTTGTGTATTTAACCTATTTTGATATTGTCTCAAATTAGTCTAAAGTTGCCCATACTTGCATATTAGAACAGGTAATTTTATGACAGGTGCGTCTCTAATTTAGTAATTAATCTCGAAACAAATAACTGATAACGAAATCTAAATCTTGACCAAATATGGTTGTAAAACTTTCGATCAATGTGAAATGTAATTTTAAACTTTATACTCTTGTTATCTATTTTTCACGAATTTAACTTTATTTTTGAAAACTTTTCTGATTTTAATGAAATAATTCACCTAATATAAAGGTTCAAAGAATTGGATGGTGTCAGTTAGTAATATTATTGCAACAGAAAAAGTCTATATAGAAGAATTATGCCCATCAGTGACATTCTGTGAAAAATAAAAACAATCTTTGACATAATCTTAAGCTCCATCATAAGCAACCTCTTGGTCAGGATAAGGCCCATCTTTATCATTCTCTAGGACAGAATAGGGCCCATCTTTATCATTCTCTAGGACTGAATAAAGAACATCATTGGCATTCTCTAGGACAGAATAAGGCCCATCTTTGGCGACAGAATAGGGCCCATCTTTATCATTCTCTAGGACTAAATAAAGAACATCATTGGCATTCTCTAGGACAGAATAAGGCCTATCTTTGGCGACAGAATAGGGCCCATCTTTATCATTCTCTAGGACTAAAAAAAGAACATCATTGGCATTCTTTAGGACAGAATAAGGCCTATCTTTGGCGACAGAATAGGGCCCATCTTTATCATTCTCTAGGACTGAATAAAGAACATCATTGGCATTCTCTAGGACAGAATAAAGTTTATCTTAAACATTATCTACGAAAAATTAATCCCCATCATAGGACAGAATAAGCTCATCTTTAACATTATCTAGGACAGAATTATGCCTATCATCAGCATTATAAAGGACAGAATAAGACCCATCTTTATTTAAGGTACATCATCTAGACAAAAGGAGGCACATTATTGACAATTTCTCCAAGACAATTTTATATGACAGAATTAGCCTCATCATTAGCATGCACTAGGACAGAATAAATATCATCTTAAACATTTTCTTGAACAGAATAAGGCCTATCTTTCAGATTCCTGATAGCTGAATAAGGCCCATGGTCAGCTTTCTCTCAGATAGAATAAGACCTGTCATTAGAATTAAATAGGAAAGAATAAGCTATAATTAACATTCTTTTTGGCAATATAAGTTCCATCTTTTTTCCTACTCTCTGTGTGACAGATCATCATAATGCCTTAAGACAATTTAAGGTATTCAATAGGCTCACACTTATTCTGGGACAGGACAATGCCTGTCATTGGCACAGTCTAATTCAGAGTGAATTCACTGGACTGAAACTTGTGTACATTGATAGTGAATGTGAATTATTGTCTGTAACTTGCTTCTTTGTCTATATTAAAGCTATCATTCTATCTCAGATAAGAATATATTGGAAAGTCATGCCACAGACAAAAACTAATGTTGCACCATTTAGCAATTAGTTTATCATGTTTAGAGATAGTTGATGCTATTTTAACATTTATATATATATATACATTGTATATATTTTGCCTTTGAATATAATTATTTTATGTTTCTTGTTATCAGTAATGTTGCATTGCATGTGCACAAAATATTATGTGGGCCCTTGTGGTTGAGGGGTTGCCTCTAAGTGTTGAAGCCTCAGAATTGCAGCAACTGTTTATCTCTGTGTGATTCGTAAGAGGCAACAAGATTGGTTCAAATTTGGTCCTGGCATCTATGCCTCTCTTAGCTCTCCCAGCAGGTGAGGTGGTTAACCCTGGTTTTGACCCATGGTGTTGCTTGAAGTTTTATGGTCTTTACCCTGACATGGTATTTACTCAGATGTGGTCTTTACTCAGACATGGTCTTTACCAAGACATGGTCTTTACACAGATGTGTTCTTTACACAGATGTGGTCTTTACTCAGATGTGGTCTTTACCCAGACATGGTCTTTATTCAGATGTGTTTTTTATTCTGACATGGTCTTTACCCAGATATCATCTTTCATGTGCTTTATTCAGACATGGTCTTCTTTCAGACATGGACTTTGTTCAGATATGATCTATATTCAGACATGGTGTTTATTTAGATGTTGTCTTTGTTCATACATTGCCATACTTATTCAGACATGGTCTTGACCCAGTCATTGTCTTTATTCAGACATGGTTCTTATTCAGACATGGTCTTGACCCAGTCATTGTCTTTATTCAGACATGGTTCTTATTCAGACATGGTCTTTACCTAGTCATTGTCTTTATTCAGACATGGTCTTTATTCAGACATGGTTCTTATTCAGACATGGTCTTTACCTAGTCATTGTCTTTATTCAGACATGGTACTTATTCAGACATGGTTCTTATTCAGACATGGTCTTTACCTAGTCATTGTCTTTATTCAGACATGGTACTAATTTAGACATGGTCTTTACCCAGGCTTGGTCTTTATTCAGACATGGTACTAATTCAGACATGGTCTTTACCCAGACATGGTCTTTATTCAGACATGGTTCTTATTCAGACATGGTCTTTACCTAGTCATTGTCTTTATTCAGACATGGTACTTATTCAGACATGGTCTTTACCCAGACTTTGTCTTTGTTCATATGTGGTCTTTATTCAGAAATGTTCTTTATTAAGACATGGTCTTTATTCAGATGTGTTTTTTTTATTCAGAAGGGAGGTCTTTGTTAAGAAGAATGGTCTGTATCCATATAGATTATCTGAAATCAAATGTGGTCTTTATCAAGGTTTGAACTCCTGCTTTTTAAAATTCAAAGCTCATATTTGAATGACCACTATAATGCTTGAAATTACTTTCTGGATTTTACCTTCCTCTTCTAAGCAAGTGTCTCGTGAAAGCTATGTAGCTAGTTTATAGAAGGTTTGTTGCAAGCACTTATCAGAGGCATGACCTAAGACCTTGCTGGATAGTTGCTTTATGTTGTGAAAAGCCTTGTCCATACTTGTGGTGTGGTGTAAACCCCAATAAAGCAAAGAAGAATAACCAAATAGAAAATTTCCATTCCCAAGTTTACCACTATAACTGTCACTTTGGAATCAAGTTTACAATTAAGTGCTTTTTATTTTTATTTTTCTTGCAAATTTTAGAGAAAAAAAATTTCGAAAATTTATGCATACCAAATGTGTTTTCAATTAAGAGAGTTCCTGAAGTTTTCCATTGTGCCTGCTTCCAAAATGGTTTGTAATTGTGCTATCATTATGCCCCAGTTCACAATTATATGCAGAAATATTTTAATTAAATCATTAAAAAAAATGAAATATTAACCAGATACAGGTGTGCTTTTTGGGGTCCTTTGCTGATGATTATAATCGTCTAAAGATTTTTGTCTGAAAGAACTTCCTGTTAGCAGACCTATCAATTTAATTTGTGTTATCAGTTTATATTCTTGGATGTGAAACACTTCAGTATTTTAATGTATGATCTTGAGTCAGTTTAGTGAACAATTAAATTCTACAATAAATATTACCTGTACTTCAAAACAATGAGCCTTTCACTTTGTCCTAAAGGTGACACACCCATCATCAGTTATTCTTAATATTTCATATTTTGGCATATATTGTTATTTTCTGCGTCTTATCTTATAATAAAAATCCTTTCGGCACCATAAAATTATGACCTACAAAAAAAGTATTAAAAAAAATATAAAAATAAGCATCATCATAACCAGGATCATGAAATGTTTTAAATCTGAGTCATCTAAGTGCTTTCTTTCAAAGGTGGCTTTAAGAAAGTAAGCAAAAGGTAGATATGTCAAAGAATGGCTCAATTCCATCTTGATGCTTTAAGTACAGAGAATGGCAAAGATACTGATGAATAGAGAATCTAGAAATCGTTCCATTGTTAAAATTGTTACATGGTCAATTTTTAACACTTCTAATTTAGAAGTATAGAAAAGGAGGAATTGAAAAAAAAAATTGTTTCACTGACGGAAACTCTTGTTGTTGTTGTTGTTGTTCTATAATTGAGACAAAAGTTTAACTTAAAATGTCAATATTTTTAAAGAATATGATCAAGTTTAATAATATAAAGTTTTAGATGACTTTTGAAACATTGTCCTTTCCTTAAAATATATAATTCAACTTGTCAGCTTGCTGAAATTTATGTCCAACTTTCAAGAATTATACCATTACAAAATGGGAGAATATCATACAACAAAGTTCAGTCTTAATCATGTAAGTAAAATGATGCAGTTTCATTTAATAACAAATACAGGAAAACCATCTTTTGTATATATCTAAGTGTTCTAATTATAAAGATTTCGGTCTGATATAAATTTAGATATACAAATAATGATACAAGTGTCGGTTAATTGGCTGTGCTGAAGCACCTTAAGAGCTTTTAATTGCAGAAACTTTTCTTAATTGGTCAGGTGACTAAATATTCATAAGAGGGCCTTTCAGAAAACTTGATTAGGAGTTTTTATCTAATGTCAGGATTAATCGGGCAACTGTAATAATCAAGCCTATCTTGGATAGGATGGAACGTGAAAGATTAAGTCAAAAATTGAATGGTTTTATCAGTTTTTACCTAGGGAACACTTCAAGTGTTAATTTGTAATATTTTTGCGCAGATATCTATAGTGGAATTGAGACAAAGAGATAGATTAATAGTGGCTTAATCCAATTCTTTATTTACTTTTACAGTGCGCTATCTGCAATTTGGGAAATGTGTGACAGATTGAGAGCTTATGTCTAAACAGGATACGCTTAAAGGTTAGTTTGTTTTGTTTTTATATTTTTATAAAATTTTAAAACTTCCTTATATCGTTACAATGATACTCCTCAATGGTAGACATGTAGAATGTATACCCCCAAGTTTTTTTGTTAAGGTCTAAGAATTAAAGTTAAATGGCTCCAGATTCATGCTTATTTTTATTAACATTTTGAAACTATTACTAAATGTAAAATATTGTGAAGTGAACAAAGACAGTTATTTACACATTGTAAACAGCACTTGCAATTCATGTAACTTATCAACAAAAAAAGAGGTAAAAATATGCAAAATAATTCTTACTGTGTTAGTAACGCAGTAGGAATATGGTGATCAATACTGCAAAATCAGTTAATAATTTCACATAACATGTACCGGTAAATCATTACTTGAATCTTTTTACTTTTCTTTAAATCTCAGAGTTTGATTTTCTTGAAATATTTTGGCTCATCTGGAGGCATGCAGCTTTGATTCAGTTATGTTTCTGCCTTTATGAAGCTGATGCTGGTCCTATGACTGTTAGTATTTTTGTCTGTCCGTTTGTATGAATGTTGACCGTATATTTCACTAGTGTATATGTGTTTGTCTTTTTGACTTTCAGACCTGTCATAACATGATATAGGTTATTACGTATGCAAAATGATATAAAAATATGAGTTAGATTATATTGTGTCAGGTGTTAGTCTGTTAATCTGAACATTTGTTGATAATTTTCCTGTCTCTTTTGTTTTGTACATCTGTTTGTTTGTCCTTCTGTCTATCTGTCTGTCCACTTGTGTGTCTGTTTATTTATCTGTCAGATGTAAATCCACTGTTCTTAGTAGATAGTTATTGTATATATTGTGAAAATGAAAACAATAAATGAGTATTACTTTTAAATTTTACAACTTCAAAGGAGGTTTAAAATTAATTTATGTATATTAATGAAATACATGTATGGAAGAAGTTGATTGTGCCTTAGATGGCACTGTGAAATGTTACAGTAATTCATAGTTTAAATGCCTTAGCTTCATAAATTATTTAATTGTTTTTGGGCATTGTTTTTTTGTTGTTTTTTTTTTTGGGGGGGAGGGGGTTGAAGTGTCATTTTTCTATTGTGATTGGTCATAAGATGGATACACATATGGGTGCCATACCTCTGAAATGGAACTTTCAAGTGTGGTGGGATATATTAGGGCTTGGGCTAGGGTTGACAAAGCAAAACAAAGCAAAATGGATGCGATTCAAAGATTTACTAACAAATTAAAAAAATACCAACACCTTACAGGTGTGTTACTTTGAATATTTTAGTGTCATTTAAGTTATTTTTATGCAATGTATACAAGATTACATTGAAAACCAGTTGAGTATTAAACCTATGTCATTGTTATAGAGCTGGGACAGTTTGTACATTCATTTTTGAGTATAACTCCTGAATTTCCTCAATGGACTTGTTCAGCTTCCCTTTTTGCACTTCCCAATATCAATTTTGGACTGCCCAATATAAATTTTGGACTTCCCAATATCAATACTGGACTGCCCAATATCAATTTTATAACAAATTGTCTAATTGTTTTGCTTTTTATGCACTTTATCACTGGTACAAATTGTTTAACCTTTTATGCATTTTAGTAACCAAAAATAACCTTTTATGTGATAGCACTTAATGAAGTTGGGAGTACTGAAACTTGCATCAACTGTAGCAAGGCATTATGGGTACGCTATACACAAAATATCACTATTACGGGATGATTCCATGTTACTAATTATGATTAATAACATAAAATGAATGTAATTTGATATCCCTTAAGATTGAGATATGTCAGCTTTTAGTATGAGTTTCAAATGAAGTATTATTCTCGTGCCGAACATAGACCATAAATTAGCCCGCGCAACGACCATGCATACCGATATGAAAACTAATTTGTTAATTAGTTAGCTTTGCAATTAATTCATTGATTGATTAATTAGGTTAATCAAATTAGTTTATTAACTGTATTAATTTAATCAGTTTTAGCTGTGGAATGAATTCACCAAGGAATTGCGTAACAAAACTTTGTTGGGTTTATTGTTCCTTATCAAGCCATGTTTATTACGGAGTTATGAATTATGGAATTCATTTTAACACAATTGTTTCATAAAACTTTGCTTGAAATTTCCCTCCTCCGTAATTGAATTAGACAGATTTTTTTTAAGGTGTAGCAAATGGCAACTTATTCATGGTTTCTATAAATATTTTATGCGTCTTCCCCTATTCCTAATGCAAAAATGCTTCATGACACTTGAAAATTATCTTTAATTGGTGTTGAATGTGTCATTAACCCTTAACCTGCTGAAGTTAGGTAAATTAATTATGTAAATTAATGGATTCTGCAAGTCTGTGCAAATTTTAAAGGGATTTCAATAAGAAAATACCAAAAATTGAGCTTCCAGCAGTATAGAGCCTGGTCAGACTGCACTCTAGATGCCATCAGGGTTCATAGTTGATATATTGATATATTTTACCTTGGTGGCATGATAACTTTCATGACAATATCAGATGAGATCAGAAAAAAGATTTTGTACCTCTAACATCGGATGGGGTTTGGGGTTCATTAAAAAACTGACCACTTTTGGCAGTACCATGTTTTATTTGTTATATTTAGTGCCAGTCAGCATTTCATATTCTCAACAACACACTTTGACTTTAGGTATTATGTTCAATATTTTAAGATGAAGTGATATCAATGTTTTTTGTGACACTTATTTACCTGTATTTTGTAAATGATGTTTTATAAAGTCGATATTAATTTTGTAGATAACAAAATAAACTATAACCGGAACCTGGCAGGATGATTATGTTTAAATGGTAAAGTATGTGGGTGTGATGGGGTCACAGATTTATGTGGATTTAAAATTGAAATATAGGTTTCTTATTATCTTATCAATTATTTTCACAGGAATTTCTCATTTCTTAATGAAAAAAAGAAAGGTTATTACAGGTTGCATAACCCTTACTTTTGTGTGTTGCTCAGTAACCTCCCTTGGCTTCAAATGGTGAATTATTTGGTCTAAACAGAATTTATTTAAATTTGATTGTGAAGGAAACTTATGGAGTCACTCGAATCTATTTCTGGAACAATCCAGTACTAAACAATGAGTGTTAAGTTTCTTGCACAAGGAAACAACGATTCATTCCTGACAGGATTTGAACCAACGCTGATAGCAGTCCTTGGATTACTAGGCCAAGGTGTTGAAGCACTTGATCGGCATGTATAGCACTGGATCGACAATGCCACCACTTCTTTGAAAAGAAAAAAGGCTGACGCAGTGTCATTGCCATGCTTACAGATTTTAGAAACAACAATACATGCAAAGCTCATCTGTTGCTTTTATTGTAATGGCAGGGAACATCAGGTCGGGAGTGAGTTCTTCTGTGTGTAATACTAGTTTTGTTTATTTTCCTATGTAACTCATACTGGAATTCGAACCCTTACATAAACCCTAATGTCAGTGACTTTTAAGGTGTAATATAGAAACAATATTGTCTTAACCCAAGCAGGCAGAACTTAAAGTGATAAACCTTTGCTAGCCTGTATGGAAGTCTGCTGTCGCCAGACCAACTTCAGAATTTTCATCTTGGTAAACCCCAAAACGATAATGGATGGTTCCAAAATGGAAACTTGACAATTCTGTTTTAGAAATTCAGAAGGTTAAGAGTTCATTAAGTGCAAAGATTCCAGTGTCCAGCCAACAAGAGTGTGATCTTTTGCTCTGCTTGCATGGAAGGATTTTTGCCATCTAGAATGGTTTCGCTTATTGCAATGTAGACCTTTCCATAATTATTTTAAGGTAGTGCTCAAGACTTTCAAATGTAATCCTTATGGACTAGATATACTTAAAATAATTATTTTTATTTATGAATTTGTTTTCCCAACAGTACCTCACCTCTTGTTATCTTGATGGATTAGAAGACCTGACACAACGATGTAAACTTTACTAATCCCTATAAATCATATAAAGTATCCAAAGTTTAAGACAGAAATTCAATTAGGACCACAATAAATTAAGGCCATGGCTTTCAGTTATCATTTATCTTGCATTGGTTTTGAGCTAATAATCTATGCATGAAAATATCTTCAAATACTCCAGTTTGAATTTTTATTTGTTTTAGCTGTGATAAGAGAAATTGATTTGATTTTTGCATGATGTTAAATTACCAAGTTTGGCCTGCCTTTGTTTAAACACAATATATATAGATAATATTGTACAATATTTCGAAACTTTTTAATTAGTTTCCTCCAACATGTGAAAAGTTGTCGTTGTCAGGATAAGATATAAAAGAATCATTGTCAAACAGTTCTTGTCTTTTTCTGCTTATTTAGCAAAACATTGACTTGTTTAACTTAATATAACATACATTTGCCATCAATATAGAGCCAATTAATCAAATCTAAATTTGACATCAATACAAAGCAAACATCTGCCATCAGTATGGAGCCAATATGACATACATTTGTCATCAATATAGAGCCAATATAACATACATTTGTCATCAATATAGAGCCAATATAACATACATTTGTCATCAATATAGAGCCAATATAACATACATTTGCCATCAATATAGAGCCAATAACATACATTTGCCATCATTATAAAGCCAATATAACATACATTTGCCATCAGTATAAAGCCAATATAACATACATTTGCCATCAATGTAGAACCAATATAACATACATTTGCCATAAATATAGAGCCAATATAACATACATTTGCCATCAATGTAGAGCCAATATAACATACATTTGCCATCAATATAGAGCCAATATAACATATATTTGCCATCAATATACAGTAGAGCCAATATTTGTATTTTTATCCACAGTTGTTCCTTGCCACATTAAATATCTTAAATGAACTTGTCGCAAAGCCATTCATCATTTTCGGAAAAACTACAAAATATGCACTTACTGAACAAGGGGCAGTGCTAATCATGATCATATGGCACAGATATGCATGCTGATCTTGGTCTGCATAG